ACCGCCAGGCACAGGTCACATTTCACAGCGATGGCCTAAGCCACCATAGTCACGATGTAGGCCTAGCCCGTGTCGGTAAGGATCTGGTCTAAACATAATTTTCAATGACTGTTCTATTGGTTCAGGTTTTTGGTTGCAAACGACACCCTCGCTAATTAAATTAATTCACTTAAAGTACAAATTAATGTTAAAATCTTAGAGGGCCCAGGAACCAGGCTTGAGGAATATACATCCCAAATCACAGCACCAGACTGCTTCAGGAATTTAACTGCACCTTTGACTTGGAGCAAGGACACTTGCTGCCAGACCCTCTGTCACTGCCACTCTCAGAGCTGGGCGTCTCTCTGCCACAATCCACCACCCGCAGCAGAATGCGTCTTTCTTCTCACCACGCTACTGAGTCAAGATTTTGTAAGAGAGAGTCTGACTGGTGGAGCGCTCCTTATGGACTCATGCCTAGCTCTAAGGGAAAATGGAAAAATTAAGTTAGCCACTTCTAATTTAGAAACAGAAATTTTGCACATATATGAAGGATGTTCCTAACCTGCTGGGCGGAGAAAAATATAACAAAGTCCAAAACTGTGTAATGCTTTATTGTATAAATGTTTCATAATTTAGTAAACAGTTTCCTTGTTGTTGAAAACTTGGGCCATTTAGGAAAATATAATTTTAATCATGTTTATTGAGGTATAATTTACATATGACTAAAATGCACCCTTTTCAGTATACAGTTATGTATTAACAAACGCGTATGGTCATGGAGCAACCACCATAATCAAGATATATAACAGTTCACCCCGCCCCCCCCAAATTCCCTTACATGCCACTCCATAATCAGTCCCTCCCACTACCACCAACTACAGGCAACCGATGATCTATTTTTATCTCAATATTTGTCCTTTCCCAGAATGTCCTATAAAAGGAGTCACATCGTATACACCTTTTCTTGTCTGGCCTTTTTCACTCTGCCTAATTATTTGAGACTCATCATGTCGCCCTCTCTGTCAGTAGAGTATTCCTTTTTATTGTTGAGTGGTCTGTCGCACAGTTGTACCCCCAGTGGTACGTTCACCAGCTAAAGGACATATGGATTGTTTTCTAGACAGTTACTAATACAGCAACTATACACACTGGCGTACAGGTTTAGTTGCCCCTCTCAAGACCTCCATCAATCCCATCCCAGTCACACCAAATAAGCATATAATCTAAAAAAGAAAAAAACTACATGCCCTGGCTGATTTGGCTCAGCAGTTAGAGCTTCGGCCCGTGGATAGAGAGTCCCAGGTTCGGTTCCCGCTAAGGGCATGTACCTCAGTTGCGGTTTGTCCCCAGCCCCAGCTGGGGTCATGTGGGTGGCAGCCAGTCGGTGTGTCAGTGTTTCTCTCTCTCTTCCTCCCCATCTCCTTCCCACTCTATCTGAAGATAAATGCAAAGAAATGTCCTCGGGTGAGGATAAAAAAAGAAAACTACACAAAAGTAGTTTCAAATCAACCTGCTCACCTCCAGTGCCGATCTGATCGTTGGCCCTAAAGAGAAGTTGTGGAGGAGCTGCTCAGGAAATGATTGTTGCATACCAGATGCTTGGTATGGAAGGAGGAGAGGGGTGGTGGGGTTTATGCCACACTGAGTGTCCCATCTGCCCTGGACTTGATCTCTCCAGTGTTTCTTCATCTCTTGTCTGAAGCTGTTGGTGTAGATAGAATTAAAGCTGAGATTTTAGGCAAGGTTTATGCCAAGCAAAGAAGCAGATACTCCTTTTGGGCTCTCCCTGGCCATGTTCACCCTGTGAATTCAAGGTTGCTGATGTAGGATCCCATCCACCGTGTCCACCTGTGTTTCTCCAGCACCCACTAGAGTTATTTTTTAAATGAATTCACAGATGAATGAGCAACTGTCGACATTGGTGAGTAAATGTTTTATTCATAATTATAGAAAGAACGAGTGTTTCACTCAGTGTTACCCGCTGAAAATAAATTTGTTTGAAAAGCAGTTCAATTACGTCAAGAATAATTGCCCATTGCTGTATTTAGATGTAATCTAATTCCTATAGAAATAAGCATATGCAGTTTCAATGCATAATTACATCTGACATTAAGTGACTTCCCTGTGGATTTCTTCCTGATGACAGAAAATTAAAAGTTCCATAATGAAGTGACAGTACTCACCTTTTCGGCTCTGAAGGACGTTCCTCCCGGCTCAGGTTATGGCGTTTGCTTGAAAGATGAAACCAGCCCCCTTCCAAATAAATATGACATCTGGACACCTCTTCAAGGATGAACATTTTATTGGAATACAGGCGCTTGGCAGAGTAAATACATGGTTACAAAGTGTTTTAAGTTTATTTGCTTTACACAGTGACCAACAACAACAACAAAAAATCCACAGTGTCAATTTTTTTCTTGAAGTTGCAGACTTCAGAAGGTAAGGAAGGCACCGGTAGCCAACTTTTTCTCTAGTGAAACTGTATTATTGTTTTAGTCAGTGATGTCCTTCCCTTCCTCATATTAAAATTGCTATGTAGCATACATAATTTGGCACTTATAAAGAAATAAAGTCTGGGAGAATTGTGAAACCTTTAGAAATCATTGGCTCCTACCTAGAGGTTATAAAATCAGACTTGAGAATCTTCTTAATAAAATGTAGATTAGTAGGCCTAACGACCTGCAGTTTCTCACACCCAGACTCTTTATAAAGCTTTTGGACAAATTGGAATCTTATCCCTGTGGTCTCCAAAATTTTTTTTTTTTTTTTTAAAGAGAATTTACTCTCCATAATTCAAGGCACTGCTGTCTCAGCTCCTGGCTGCAAAGGAGAAAATGACAAGGTAATTTCCTTAAGGAAAATATTATTTCTTTGTGAAAGGTCAATAGTAATGTAACTGGTTTAAAGTCACAGAATTTTTGCCAAAAACTGTGTCTTGCCTGGCCAGTGTGGCTCAGTGGTTGAGCATCAACCCATGAACCAAGAGGTCACCAGTTTGATTTCCGGTCAGGGCACATGCCCCGGGGTGCAGACTCGATTCCCGGTCAAGGCACATGCCCCAGGTTGCAGGCTTGATCCCCAGTTAGGGGACGTGCAGGAGGCAGCCGATCGATGTTTGTCACATCAATGTTTCCATCTCTCTCTCCCTTCCTCTCTCTCTAAAAAAAAAATCAATAAAACATATTTAAAAAAAAAAAAAGTGCCTTGAGGTTTGATGCATTTCTAATAGGCGTGCCCATTGGAGAGATTCCCCAGTGCAGCCTGCAGAGACTTTCATGCTGCTCACTGAAACCACAGTAACCTTGCTCCAACCTGGAAACCACTGAAGCAATACAAAGAAGTCCCTATTGAAAGCAACAGACTCGTGATAACATGAAGTTGTCTCATTCAACATGTTAAAATGAATAAGGAATATTCTTCATGCACTTTTTTTCCCCTGTTCCATCTACAAATAGAACACTGCTCCTGCATAGTCTAGTGAATTTGCCTTTTGTGAAATATGTACAGAAACATTCTTTGATTGTGTTCTCAAGCGTGTCCTTCCACTTAGTGCCCAGTCCCCCGGGGCCCGCAGGACGGGTACAGGAAGGGCAGTGGAGCTCATCCATCCAGTGCAGTGAAGTGCACTCTCTTGGGGCTGGAAAAAATGACTCGGCTTTCCAAGGCTTCAAGAAGCCCTGATGAGAGCAAAGGGAGAAAGCTGGGAAGCTCCCGTGTGGTGGTAGCCTGGGCTGTGACCTCCTCCCTCAGCTGTTCTGGACAGAAGGGCAATCCTTGGCAGGGCCGGGCACTACTCCTTTGGCTCCTTGCCTACTGGGCAGAGCATCTGACCATGTGTCCATCTGCCCTTTGGACTTGATTTAAGGGAAGACTCCCCAATTAAAAAAAAAAAAGTCTCCCTGGCTAACAGCAAGCCCAAAATAGCCCAGCACAGCAGAGTGGCGGATGTTGGGTTCTCACGTTTCCGGGGCAGCCCGGCACAGGCCAGTTCCTTGCTAGGCACGAGGGATGTTAAGGTGACTTGAGGAGGCAGGCAGCCATTATTCCAGTAGGAAGCACATATGATGACTAAACCCTAGTTTCTGTCCTTGAAGAGAAGAAAGAGCCCCTGGAAGAGACAGCAAGTGAACTTCAATATTCCATGGTAATTGCAAAGGTATGAGTGAGCACTGGGTGTTACAGGGGCCGGGGGCGTGGCCTCCACCTTCTTTCTCTGCAAGGAGAGCTTCGTACAAGTGAGGATCTAAGCACCCTAAGAAAAGTCATGAGAGACACTGCACTGATACCGATGATCTTTCATCCTTTAAGACAGAAATCCAAGAAATTCTTCATGGGGAGATGGAGAGGGAGATACTTGAATTCCTGCCTAAATTGTTCATCTATGGGACAAATCCTCTAAAGAACTGATAAACTTACTTGATGATGGTCAACACGAGCTCTTGTGACAATATGTTGGAATCTAGTACTAACGTTTGTGGAAGGAAAGATGAGGATGTAGTACTGGGACTGACGCTTTCGGGAAATAAACTGCTATCTTCTGCAGGACAATAAAATACTTCTTCATTTAGTCTTTGGGAAGTCCACTCTAACTTTAACATGAACAGTTACAGGCCCCATCAGGTATGATGATGTACTTGTGTCTATTTCCGCCGAAGTGGGAGTTCTGGGAGAAAGGAACAGATCTTTTCAACCACGGATTTCCCGCGCCTGGGACATAGCGGACTCAATTCACTTGCTAAATGACTGAACAAACGATTTCTGTTTTTGGTCACATCTTTGGGACTTGATGGTATGCATATATATCTTGGCTTGGCTTTTTTCCTTCTCTCTCCCTTTTCTTTTTCTTTTCTATTCGTTCATTCACTTTGTTTCCTTCTGGAAGTGAACCAGGATGGTTTCCATGGAAAGCAAGCTTTTATGCCAGCACAGACAGCATACCATTTGAAAACTGGCATTTTCTTCGATTCAATTTCCTTGGGCCTCTTAATTTATACTGAAAAAAGCACCTTATCTTTTCCTCTTTTTACTTTTTTTTTTTTTCCTGGTGCAATGCCGAACACAGCATGTGGCATGGAGTAGCTGTTTTCAATAACGTTCGTGTCATTGGTAGGCTTTACACCCAATAATTTAGCTAAGCTCACTCTCTGCACCATCTAAGGCTAATTTGGAATGCTTAACATGCCAGGGAAATATTCTTGCCTCGTTAGAATTTCCCCAGAAAGTGATTAATTAATAAGAATCAACAAGATTAATTAACAAGACTGATAGCAGAATTAGCAACAGGCCCAGACAGTTCCACAGACCACAGCCTTCCTCCGTTTCTGCTCAGCCTCCCCTGAGCGCTCTCGGGCCCTGGGGGTCTGCACACAGCTGTGGCAGCTGGTGTTCACCACCTCCTCTTTCCTGCAGCCTGACTGTGGCCAAGTGCTGAGTCCTTAAGAGTCGGCGCAGTAGACGGTGAATGGATGTACAGTATAATTGCATTCTCACAAAGAACTGAAAAGCCTCAAAGTGCATAAGAAGAAACCGTGCAGAGTGTATTGAAAACCGTGCTCCTGCTGTTTTTTTCCGTCCACTTCCCGCCTTGAACACCCTACGCTGCCTCTCATCCCAAACACTCCGTTACCCCTGTAATTCCTATTAAAATTCTAAAGCGATAACTTATAGCAGAGAAGTTCGGTTCCACAGAGGTCTGCTCAGTGCTCACGCCCTGTGTGCATTCCCTCTGATTTTATTCTACAAGTTAAGAAAGTACCTAATAACATTTTTTGGTAACAATAGCATGCACCCCCTAAGTGTACCCATAACTAACCCACTGGCTGAGTTTGTTCAAAGAAATACTTTTGCCAAATCGTCTCTCTCACTCCTCCGAGGGCTGCTCCGGGGGACTCTCCCTCACGTCCTCGTTCTGTGGACCTAGGGTGTCGGTGTTTGGAGCATTCTCGACCACCCACTGACACTCGTGGACACGGAGGCCCTTAGCCTCCTCGGCGCCCACGCTGGCAGTAGCCTGGCCGGGGCCTCTTTCCCCTGCCACCGCTTCTGCCGCAGAGACCTGGCTCTCACTGGGGCCGATGGGGTCAGAACCTAAAAGGCACCCCCCTTGTGCACTGGCCTTACCTCCTTCGTGGGCATCGGGTCTGGAAGACTCCCCTGCGAGCGAGCTCCCAGCGGGCTCCCCAGCCTCTGCCTGCTCCTCTGTGGGGCCTGGGTCGCTGGCACCCTGGCTGAGCCCTCTGCAGGCTGGCTGAGCCTCTACACATCCCCCCAACTCCACCCCACCGGCCTGCGCCTCTGCAGCCGGAGAATGGGCCTCGCTCTCCCTGACTCCACCGTCTTCACTGTTGTCCCGACCAGAGGCAGATGCTTCACTGGCCTCTGTGCAGATTCGGGTTGTTTCCTCTTCTTTTTCCATTTCTTGGGGAACAAGGGCCTCCTGATGTGTATCTCTTTCGATGTCGAGGGCAGCAGACACCATCGGTACGTCAACGGTCACCGTCAACAGATTTCTGAGCTCCTTCAAGGAGCATGAGGCAGAGATGGAGTCTGGCTTTTCGTGGGCGGCTTCTGTGTCTGCTGGAGACCCTCCAACCTCCAGCTCTGACGAGCGTGCGCCCCCGTCTCCTGCCATGTCCTCTGCGGCCACGGGACTCACAGCTGGGTCACCCAGGCCTGAAATAATCATCAGCTGCCTGTCCCCACCTGGGGAAGACAGGCTTTCTCCTGTGGCCAGCGGGCTAGGGACCGCAGGCTGCTGCTTTCCCCCCGACTCCTGGAACACGTCATTGCTCGGGGTCTCACTGTCAGCAGCCCCCAGCAGGACGGCCGAGGCTCTCCTTGCAGGGCTGGCCTGGTTTGACCCCACGGGGGTCTTGAGATCGGTTAAGCTGGACACGCTTTCACTGGGCAAGGCCACGTTGTCTTCAAATAGGTTGTGTTTCTTCAGGATGGCAGCTTCCTTGATCACTGGGATACCAGAAAACAAAACAGGACATTAACACCCTTCCCTGGCCAGCTGGCTTCGCTGGTCTCACCCACGAGCCAAACCCCTCTCGGCATTTCTGGCTATCCAGATTTCTCCAGTTCGAGGTCCCGCTTCCAGCCACCCTCTTCCAGGTGGCTTTCCCTGATGAGCAAAGCCTGCAGCCTCATTCTGAACTCGGCACCTCTGTAGTACTCATTCATCCCTTCACGCATGCATTTCACGTATTCAAACAGCCAACATTTACTGGGCACTGACGATGGGACCGACTCTGGACATCCTAAGATGAATAAAACATGGCCTTTGCTGTCGAGGAGCTGACGATCCGTAACAGTGTCGCCTGTAGCACTCCTGAGGCCCCGTCACATTTACCAGCTGCTAATCTGTGCGGTTCTGCTTACCCACCTCGACCGAATGCCTCTGGGCTAGCGGCAGGCTCACGTCTCTGCTGTTCCCCACGGCCCAGTCCTGACTGTGTAGGGGTTCTCTGTGCTGAGCATGCAGAGAGCCCTGTTGACCTGTCGTCTGCAAAATGGGTTTGGGACTTTCGCCCCAGCATCTCAGCTATAGGTCCCTTTGCCCCAAGCATCTTTGACACGAACGTTTTTGCTGTGTAACTAAATTGGCTCTAAGGTGATTTTGCCATTTTACAAAAAAGGTAAAATAACTGGTTGACAGTCTATTTATTTGTGTTTGGTTTTATTTCTCCACTGACAAAGTAGTGGAGAAAAGAAATAGTGGTGGTCTTAAAATAGCATTTTTTTTCCCCAGATGATGATGATTTTTGCCCCAATAGTTAGTTGGTTTCTTATTCTGAAACACTACATTGGGAAGAGAAAGAAGGGCACCCAGAGGCCTCTGAGGCTCAGAGTTGAACCTGCATTTCCCATGAAACAAAGGCAAGGCCTGAGGTACAATCCACAAAATAAAATAAGCTACTTGCACAGTATTGCCGTGAATCTACGCACATTTTAAATGTATTCAGATCTTTTGTATTTTGCAACAAAGTCTTTTCAATTTGTTATTCAGCTTTAATGTCCCTGTTGTATTTGTCATAGTTTCATCTTTTTTATGGCAAAAGTGCCTTATGGCCCATTAGTTTGTGGCAGAAATGCTTGCAGCAAATGCTACAGCAAAAATAATTAGACAAAATGAAGATGTGGGCGCCCAGCTCAGTCCCAGAGGCCTCGAGAGGCATAAGAACAATGACGAGCCCTGGCCGGTGTGGCTCAGCAGTTAGAGCATCGACGAAAGAGTCTCGGGTTCGATTCTGGTCAAGGGCACGTACCTCAGCTGCGGTTCAATTCCTGGCCCTGGTCGGGGTCATGTGGGAGGCAACCAATTGATGTGTCTCTCACAAGGATGTTTCTCTCTCTCTCTCTATCTCCCCACCCCCCCCACTCCCCCACACCCCCACCACCACCCCTGTCCCTCCCACTCTATCTGAAAATCAATGGGAAAATATCCTCAGGTAAGGATTTTTAAAAAAGAACAATGAGGATAATGACAGCAGCTGACATTTTTTACATCAGGCCTCTGCTTATGGCCGTGCAGGTTGTATGGGGACCGACAGTATCCCCGCAAGGGGGCGCCAGCGACGTCAGACAGCAGAGGTCTGCGTGGTCAGCACTGTACTCCCAGCAGCTGGGGCAGGTGCCCGCTCTCAACACCCGCTGCTGCGCCAGTCTCTGGGCAGAGAGCAGTCAGGGTCCGGAGGAAGGGAGCCTTTTGCTTTTTTTTCCTTTTAGATAAGGAGTTATCTTCTTGTTGTTACTGTTTTCCCTCCCTAGATTAGACAAATTATTTCTTTTTTTATTTAATTTTATTTATTTAATTAACGTGTTGTCTTCCATCACCATTTATCCCATGTTATTTCTTTTTGTTCCAATTAAAATTTTTTCAATTGTGCCCTGGCCAGTTTGGCTCAGCAGTTAGAGCGTCGGCCTGCGGTCCGGAGAGACCCGGGTTCGGTTCCCGCTAAGGGCACGTACTTCGGTTGCAGTTTGTCCCTGGCCCTGGTTGGTTGTGCGGGTGGTAGCCACTCGATGTGTCCCTTCACGTCGATGTTTCTCTCTCTCTCTCCCTTCCTCTCTCTCCCTCCCATTCTATCTGTACAAAAAAAATGGAAAAATATCCTCGGGTGAGGATAAAAAAAAAAAAAAAAATTTTCAATTGTAATTGACGTTCAGTACTCTTTCGTATTAGTTTCAGGTGTTGGCTCAGTGGTTAGACAATCATACACATCACACAGTGTTCCCCCAATATTTTCAGCACTCACCTGACCCCATAACTAGTTATTACAATATTATTGACTGTATTTCCCAGGCTGCACTTTACATCCCCGTGACTGTTTTGTAGCTACTGATTTTTCCATTGAATTTACTGGGGTGATGTTAGTTAATAAAGTTATATAGGTGTCAGGTGAAGGGAGCCTTTTAGAATTCACGCCAAGGTGCCGTGTGGATTGGCAGGGGCCTTGCCTGGGCCCCTCCTCTGGGCAGACACTGCTACCACCGTTACACGCCTCATGCCATTCGACCCTGTGATGGGCGCTGGGACCTGGGCTTGTGCTTGGCCGGGCCCTTGGTGGAGGGGCTTGGGGATGCCTAACATCTTCCCGTGAGACGGATACATTTCAGGACTGTGGTTTTACGACGGCCCTCCCTGCCGCTCTCAAAGTCTCCCTGTCCACACCCTGTCCCAAGCGAGGCCTGCTCCCACCGTCGCACTGAGAGCAGGTGAGGAAGGTTCCCTGGGAGCAGCCCCCACCCCGGGCGGCTTGTGACCTCTGGCTAAGAGCCCCTGTTCCGTGGGAGCAGCTGGAGGAAGACACCTTCGGCTTAACCTCTCCAACCTCGGCTTTCTCATCTGAAAAATGAAGCTTAAGATTCCCACCTCCCAGAGTTCTTGTTGGTCACGAAGGAGAAAGAACAGCCAACAGGCCAGTATAATTACCTTCAGCTGGGGAGAGTCTCCCTCCTTCCTGCCTTCCCTCCCGCCCTGCCTCCCCAGCAATGTCCCCCTCCCCTCTCATACCTGTTGAGAAAACCTAGCTGGCTGTACGGGGCCCCATTTCTGGGGTGCTCCCCTCTATCCAGAGTTCCTTCCAGCACCAGGGGAACCTTCCTCACCTTTCAGGGTTTCATCAAGGAGCATCTGGTGTAAAATCTCCTCGTACACGTTTTCGACATGGATCATGTTGGTGTGATCTGCGAAGATGAACTGCTCGTATTTCTGAAGTTCCTGGAGGGCGAGAGACAGGACAAGGCAGGAGATGCTGGTTGGTGGAGGCTTGTGGAGAGGACAGGCCCCACCCCTGACCCCGGGGGCACCACGCCTCATGCTGGGCTTCAAGGGGGCAGACCCAGAGGTTTGATCGTCTCAAGGGGTGTCACTGAGTCTGGGGCCTCCCTTCCCCCTGCCCCACCCATCATAACCAGAGTATTTTCTTCTTCCTTTAAAAAAAAATGCTGACAGTACTTTCCAAGGTATATGTTACATACAATAAAGTGCAAACATTTAAAAAGTACAGCTCGAAGGTTTTAAATATATAAATAAACCCATGAAACCATAACCCAAATCAAGACGGGGGACATCATTCCCACGCCGGTTCCCAGTCTACATCCCCCCTCCCAGGTAAGCACTGATCTGAGGTCTATCACAACAGCTTAGTTTTTCTTGTTCTTGAACTTTACACAAGCGGAATCGCCCATTCTTTGGCGCTTGTTTTTGAGATTCATCCATGTTGCCATGTGTATCAGTAGCTTGTTCCTTTTTATCGATAAGACGTTCATCATGTGAATAAACGAAAACTGTTTATCCATACTGCTGTTGAGGGATATTGGGACTTTTCTCCCATTTTTGACTGCGAGGAATATAAATGCTCTGAACATTCTCATGCGTGACTTTTGCAGAGTGAAGGACTCATCTGGAGCAGAGGCCTCGAGGTGAGACGGCTGGGTCCCGGAGCAGACGTGTGTTTACCTTGGCTGGAACGGGCCCCTTTGCAGGGGTGAGAATCTCGAGTCCAGGGTTCTGCAGAAACGTTCTCCTCCTTCCCTCCGGCTGGCCCTGGCACGCACACATTCCTCCAGAACACCCAGGCAGGATGCAAAACCCTTTAACTCCTGCTCCCCAAGGGTTTCCACATGGCTTGCCTGTCAGCGGCTTGAGGATGGAGCAGGGATCACAAAGCACCCAGTCCTATCCCAGCGACGCGCTCAGCGATCCGTGCACCTGCCGATGCTGGAAGAGAGCGTCTCCCCACACGTGGCTCCTGGAGAGCCAGGGACTTGGCAGTGGGATCTGATGTCTTTTGCCCAGAGGGACGGGATTTGCAACAGGTGACCAGGAGCCACCACTCAGACAACTCAGTGCTACGACCTGGGGGTCTGTCGTAGCTCACAGAGGGTCTCACTGGGTCCCTTTATACACACATACCCCAGAGGAAGGCAAAGGATTGCGAGCCCTGAGTGCCCACGACCCCGAGGGGGTCTGCGAGGTACACGATGAGGCCCGAAGAGTAGGAGCACTAGACACTGGCGGTGGGACCCGGACAGCATCCTCACCCTCTGCACCTCTCTTCCTCTGGGAAACGAGGGGCACGGGCTCATGTCCGCAACACCCTTTTACATTCCCACCTGGCCCCCCTTTCCTCATTCCCCTGATGGTTATTCATCCTTCAGGACCGGGCAAAAGCCTCTGGAACCCTGCCTGGCCCCACGAGCAGAGGAGGGCAACTTCCTCGGAACCCCAGCCACGAGGAACCCTCCCAGAGGGCCACTGCTGTGCCCCTCACACGGCACACCACGCCCCGTCTCCTGCCTCCAGGCTGTGAACCCCACATGCTGGGACTCTGGCCGGGCCCCATGCCTGGGTCACGTCTGATACCTATTTAACACGTTTGCTGCACAAACAGGAGACCTTTACAGTTCAGCCAGCTAAACAATTCTGTGGAAAGGAACAACCTCTAGGGGCATCTGTACTGTTGTGATGTGCGCAGCTCTTACAAAACAAATCTTCTCTATTAAATAGACCGAACTGCAATGTCGGTTTCGTTCCCTGGGTGGGTCTTGGGGAATGAGAAAGTTTTCAAAGCTTCCCAGGCACCCGAACGTGCATCTTGAGTTAAGAACCACAGATCTAAGAAGCTGCAACTTAACCAAAGGAAACACACTTTAAGAAAATAAAGAGTTCTGTGAAGCCGAAACTCCCTGATTTATCTGTCTGTAAATCCAGATTTCCAAAAGTCTTTTGACACCAATACCACATCCTTCGTTATGGAAAACTCTGGGTCACGGGTTCTTTTGAAACCAGTCTCTTGATTAAAAATCACAAGCGTCTCTTACAAACGGGGCACAACTCGGTTGGTGTTTGGAAAGAGGAGGGAGATGGAAGGGAGACTTCCTGGAGGAGGAGGCTTGGAGGCCCCTGCACAGCCTTTGGGATTAGAAAAGGAAAATACCCTAAGCAGAAAGTCTGTGTGCAGACATGGCCAGAGGCAGACTCAGTCATCCTCTGGGTGGCTGCACTTTTCCCTCCATGGAGGCCAAGGGGCCATCATATAGACAGATCCTTTATGTCCCCGGCATCATCAAATCCCTTCCTATGAAAGAAATACACCCCCTGAAATAAATGCCGGGGACTAGATATGCTGATGACACAAAAAAAACAGCAGGTACAGAATATAAAGACGCCTGAAGAGATCGCCACAGTAAAATAACTCAGAAAAGATTTTACTGTCCCAGTGCTTGGAGACCGAGCTGCCCCACAGCCTCTTTTAAATTCTAAATGCTCTTTATCATTTGCTCGCAGAGGCAGCAGGCCTTGCAAATGTCCGGGCTCCTAGATCACTCCTGAAATGAAGACGTAGTAATAGTATTCACCACGCACTGAGTGCATCACATGTTACCAGTGAGCGTGAGCTGGGTGCGGACTCTGCTGGTGACCGGCTCGGTGATTTGGGGCCCACTGCTTAATCCCCCAGGTCTCCTCATTGCTTCAATGAGGATATAAATAGGACCTCTTCATAGGTTGTCCTGAGAGTCACTGAGCTAATCTATGCAAAATATTTAACACGGTGCCTTGCAAGTGGTAAGCACTCATCAAGTGTTAATTGCCTCATTCTAGTCTTCTCAGTCTTAAGAAGGCTACGGCAAGGTCAAACTATCTCCATTTTCTAGAAGATGACATCTAGGCCAAGAGAGAAGAAAAGTGACTTGCCCAAGGCCCGAGAGCCAATACCTGGATGAACCAGGACTTGAACCCCGGTTTTGACCCAGCCTCCAGAGTGGGCACGCCCTCTGCTCTGCAGACAAAGTCACACTTCCTAATCATGGCTGTCACTGAGTGCCTGGGGTTTGGAACAGCTTTAAATGATTTTGTTTCATTGATTTCACCAAACAAACATTACTGGGTTTAACAGAACAAATATCCTCCTATAATTAATCATGTTACTTAAGATCTTTTCCTGGATGTAGTGGTCAAGTTTCAGATGACATGTTGGACCTGTGAGTCATACTATAATGAGGAACATCTGGTATTCTCAGGTGTTCTACGGCAACCCTTAGCTTGGCTCAAACTCAGATCATTACCCTTTGAGATTTTTGTCTGGTCCAAGGGGCGGCAAATCCTGCTGTCTGCTTGGTTTGGTAAATAAAGTTATGCTGAAACGCAGATGTGCCCATTTGTCTATGTATAGACTATGGCTGCTTTGGGGCCGTAACAGCACAGCTGGGTAGTTGCAACAGAAATAGCATGGCCCATGAAACCTAAAATATTTGCTATTGGACTATTTACAGAAAAAAACTTGCCGAACCTTCTACTGTTTGCAAGCACATCATGAGCAAAGAAAAGAAAAAGAACACGCTTGAACTTCACGGGCAATAAGAGCAGGCTCCCTGGAGTAACCCAGCCCTTACTGGTTTGCACGTGGACGCCAGAGCCTTCTGCACGGTGGGAAGTGTGATTTGAACGAGTGCCTCTTGAAATAGCCTCTTCCGGATGGTGCTGCTGTCATAATCATATTGCTGTCAATACAGAGATAGAAACATACGCTAAATTGCAACATTGCAATCTGTTAACTTTTGCTTAAACAAAAAACTCAGCCATCCACTTCAACTCCTGCCCCCTCCTGATTTCTGAGGACCCTTGTGGGGTTTCCAAGGTCTCAGGGATCTTTCTCTGCAATTCTCTCACATTCTAGGTGGAGGTTCTGATGGATAATGGCCCATCTTATCCTCCCCTCTTGCGGATACAGACACTGAGAGAAGATCAAAGCAGCAACTCCTGCATCATAAAGAAGTTGGGGCTAGAACTGGGGGGTGAATTTGTACTTTGTCACCCCTCTCTTGTGGGTCCCTGGGAGCCATGATGATGTACTCCTTTCATTCTACACCCTAAGAGCAGGATTTGTGGGTTGTGATGATTTCCATGTGGGCAGAGAGGGTCTGGCTCACAGCTATATTAACACTGTGGCATGTTAGCCAAAGAAGTTGAGTATCTAGAACAAGAAAGATGATGATTTCACTGTGTACTGCATGGATCACCCAAACCGAGAGACCAGAGTTTGGTTATAGATGTCACTTCCAGCGGATCACAGACATACTGGAGCATAGTCACACACATGTGAGCAGAATGGTCAGGCCAAAGAAAGCATGGTTAAAGAGATGAAGGCTTTTGTACCGAAGGGAGTAACTTGGGGCTGAATTATAGCTCTATTCAAACAATAAAGGGCTACCATGTAGAACAGGGATATTAACAAAGAGGGTTAGAACTAGGTTAATGACCGCTGAGAACTCGGGCTTAACATTAGGAAACATGTTTTTGCTATTTAACTTTCAGAGAGGTATGAAGTATCCTGACACTGGAGGTGATATTGACACTGATACCTTTTTTTCTCAATTTCAAGTTCATCATTATTTGTGTTGCCATGATAAATAATGCTTTTAATGTCAATACTTTGGTTGCCAGAGTTTCCTGCTGCCCGTGACACCTCAAGATCAGGTGTGAAATTCAGGGACCCCCTCCTAGGCTCCGCGGGACTCTGATCTTCTGCTTCAAGCCATGTTTAGGGCAGCGATTTGCTAACTCCTTCATCTCATGGCACACATGAACTGATTACTAAAAATCTGTGGCACCCCAAATAATATGCAGTATTTGCCAAACTGACAGAAAAAATAAAATAGGTATAATTTTGTTTCATTCACACCAGATGGCTATTATTATGTTGGCTGTTGCCATTTTTTTAATTTGACAATCGAAGGGAAAAGAGGTCAGTACCCCTAACTAAATAGTCAGGTAGTGCATGTTTTAAAATTCTTGTGGCACACTGGTTGAAAATCTCTGGTTTAGTCCAGCCGGTGTGGCTCAGTGGTTGAGCATTGACCCATGCACCAAAAGGTCGCCAGTTCGATTCCTGGTTGTGGGGCACATGCCCTGGTTGTGGGCCCGAGTGGGGGGCATGCAGGAGGCAGCCAATTGATGTTCTCTCTCATCGATGTTTCTATCTCTCGCTCCCTCTCACTTCCTCTCTCTCTAAAATCAATAAAGAAAAAAAAATTTTTTTTAAAGAAAATCTCTGGTTTAGGGGAAGGAGGAAGTAAAAAATTAGTGCATTAGGCTTAAGGATAGTTTAAGCTGTAGAGTCACCATTGACCAGACTGTTGAGCTTACATAAGTCACATAAGCTCTTAGAGAGTCAGTTTCCTCATCTCTACAGTGGAGACATATTCTAATTATCTCACAAGTTCTCGTGAGGATCAAATGAAAAGGGATAGGGTTTTAAAAGCTTTAAAAACATAGCATTTTTTTGTGCAAGCTCCTATTATTTAAACCATCTTTATATGTACTTAAACACTAAGCACAATAAACATGAAACAATTTCACGCGGCCGGTATCTCTTTTCAGGGGGCAGGTATCTTTTTCTTAGAGTATATTTCTTTTGCCATGAGATGTCAATTTTTCTTTAAAATATTGGGCTAATTTAGCCCTGGCCGATTTGGCTCAGCAGTTAGAGCGTCAGCCTGCGGTCCAGAGAGACCCAGGTTCGGTTCCCGCTAAGGGTATGTACCTCGGTTGCAGTTTGTCCCAGGCCCTGGTTGGGTCGTGCGGGTGGCAGCCACTCGATGTGTACCTTTCACATAGATGTTTCTCTCTCTCTGTCTCTTCCTCTCTCTCCCTCCCACTCTATCTGAACAAAAAATGAAAAAATGTCCTCAGGTGAGGATAAAAAATTTAATTTAATTTAATTTAATTTAAAAAATAAATAAAATATTGGGCTATTTTAAATGTAGACTATTCAAAGAAATAGGCTGTGCCTTGCCTATTTGTATATTCCATGCAACCTATCATAATGCTGTGCTTATAATGGGCAGCCAGTAAATATCAAGTCCAATTGCTTTGAAAGTAAACTGGGTCATGTCACTTCAGCTGATGGGCAACAATGCTGAGAACCTGAGGTCCCTAAAATAGCCACTAGATGGCAGAAGAGGCATGAAAGTCATGCTGGGGGACCTGCTGGTACTGACAGCCAGGGAACCTCAGGGCGGGGAATGGGAAAGATGAGAAAGAAAAAGGGGGAAAGGGAAAGAACTTGGTATTTTCCACATAAAAAGAAACAAGGGTCACATTCTTGTTTTATGCTTCCCACCTGAAAAAGTTGTTTTACCTTTAAGACTCGGAGTTTAACCTTCTCAATGGCGACTGCTGTTTTGGAGGCCTCTCCTTGGAGATGTGGGAAAAGCAACTGTTCAAACGTGAAGACCGCGTTCTGCATGAGCTGGGAACCAGAGCAACACAGAAACAGCACAGTCAGAGGCGGGTCACTGCCCCACATCTGCCTAAATCAGCTGGGGAGAAGGAGGGGAAGGCCATCAGGGATGAGTCCCCTCGGGCACTTCTCTGAGGGTGACCCAGGGCAACAGGCCCTCATCCCACCAGCTGAACTGTGCAATAAATAGGCACATGGCCCCAGGGGGATCAGTAAGAGACCAGGAAATACACACACACACGCACACACACACGCACACGCACACACACACTTGCATGCATGTATATATACATACATGTATGTATCCGTTCTTCTCATCTCTTCTCCTTCCACCCTGCATACACACACACACACACACACACACACACACACTTGCATGCATGTATGTATCTGGTCATCTCTTCTCCTTCCATTATTGGATTTTATATATATATAATTTCAATAAATAAAAAATAATTTGGGAAGATCTATGCCATCAGAATCACTGGTGGGGAATAAGCATCGGTAGTTCTTACATGCTCCCCAGGAGATTCTGATGTGCAGTCAGGGTTAAAAGCACTGACTTGCCCAATCACGAGATTATTCAGTGGTATCGCGTTATTTCCCTGCGATGTTTCTACTCTGTGATGTTCATCAACATGGACGAAAGATGAACCCAGCTGGAAGGACAGATACGATGGCGAAGGCACACCGGTCCTCTCTTCCAGAACTTGCCCCCCCCTTCCGCTCCATCCTCATCCCCAGCGGCCCCCTGCAGGTGCCTACCTCTTGCATGTAGTTCTGGGTCCGGTGTACCACCAGGTCCACGTGGGGAAACCTAAAACGGCTCTTGAGATCCTGCAAGCGCTCCTGAAGCAGGATGACTTTGCTATAACAAGGTTCCATCTTCACAGAATCCAATGGGAGGTTCATAAGCTGGTCCAGATGCTGTGTTTGGGGGCGGGGGACAAAACACCTTTAGACTTAGGAGCAATATTACACACATATTCCATGAATTCTATTTTTTTATTCCTCCCCTGAGGATATTTTTCTATTTATCACTAGCTAGAGTGGGAGGGAGGGAGAGAGAGACAGAAAGAAACATCCATGTGATAGAGCCACATGGACTGGTTGCCTCCTGCGTGGCCCACCCAAGGCCTGGACGAACCACAACCAAGGTACGTGCCCTTGACCGGAGTCAAACCCCGCAACTCACTGATCCGCGGGCTGACACTCTAACCACTGAGCAAAACTGGCCAGGGCTCCATAAATTCTAAACCATCAAACGTATGTTATTAGAGTGAATCACTTCTTGGATCACTGCATCTGTGAAATCTTCAATTGTCTTCCTTCCTTCCTTCCATGGGTCCCTGGGGCAGTTCTATTGCTAGGACAGAGGCTAGGACAAGGACCAACTGGACGACGGGAGGACCTGGGGATACATTCAGGGTTCCAGTCTTCCTAAGCTCTTGATGGACGGACCCCAGCGGTCACTTCCGGAACTCAAGAACTAGGCAGGTAGGTCCTTTGGCACATGGAGCTGTGGGCTGGTGAGCCCCTACGGCCTTCTGGAACGAGTGACATCCCTCTCAGAAAACCCCAGGGAGGCCAGGCTCTGCCATGTCCCGAGCCTTCCTCCTCCACAGGTTCTCTGGAGTGCTAGTGGAGAGGCTGTGGGAGGTAGGAAGGGGCCTAGCCTGAAGAGGTCCCCTGTTTTAAAAATTGAGGTCCCTTCTCTAGTTTGCACAAGCGAGCAAGAAAACGGTGACCAATCTCATCTCCTGAAGACCCCAAGTGCTACCAACACACTCACACACTATGACTGTTGTTGCCAACAGAATGCATTTCATTTTCTACGCTTATTTATTTATTTATTTATTTATTTTATCCTCACCCGAGGATATTTTTCCATTTTTTGTACAGATAGAGTGGGAGGGAGAGAGAGGAAGGGAGACAGAGAGAGAAACATCGATGTGAAGGGACACATCGAATGGCTGCCACCCGCACGACCAACCAGGGCCGGGGACAAACTGCAACCGAAGTACGTGCCCTTAGCGGGAACCGAACCCGGGTCTCTCCAAACCGCAGGCCGACGCTCTAACCGCTGAGCCAAACTGGCCAGGGCTCTACGCTTATTTAAAAATAATTTTTAAAATCAAATATTGGAGATCTAGAATAAACAAGAGAGTGGGTGGAGACAGACAGAAAGAAAGATGCTGAACACGGAGGCCCAGGGAGAACTGGGGAGTATAGGAGTGACTGAATTATATAGGATGTGGTGTCTCGTTCTCAGGTCACAGAAAAGACATAAATCTAGATTTTGAGATTTCTCTAAACGGAAATTTAAAGAGAGCCCAGCCCTGGCCGGGTGGCTCAGTTGGTTGGAGCATTGTCCTGTGTACCAACAGGTTGGGGATTCGATCCCCAGGAGTCAACCAATCACTGTTTCTCACATCCATGTTTTTTTTCTCTCTCTCTCCTCCTTCCCCTCTCTCTAAAAATAGATAGATAGATAGATAGATAGATAGATAGATGCAATAAGCAACCTCAAAATGTACAGAATGATCTTGTTTGTGTACAATGATATGCACGTGTGCACAGAGAAATAAGAAAGCAAAGGGAACAGATATATCTGGTCTTATCCACTGATGTGTAGAGATGTCTATCACATATCAAGTGTAAAACCAAGTGGACAAGTTATGTCTGTCAGGGATTCTCACACTTTAGGTTGCAACAAATCCTCTGGAAGTCTCATTAGAGGACACTGCTGAGCCTACCCCCCCGATTTCTGACTCAGTAGATCTTTGGTGGGGGCCTGAGAATTTGCAATATGAACAACCAGGTAATTAATGGTGATGATGCTGGTCTAGAGGCCACACTTTGGTTTTTATCGAGTCTATATTTTTGGAAACAAACAAACACATAAAATTTATATAAATGAGGCTATATGCGAATATATTTGTCTGAACAAGGACAAAGTATGTGAAAACACATTCTAAGCTATGTATATTAATAATTCAGAAAGTTGAGAGCAGAGGTGGCCTAGGAGTTGGGGGTGGACTGGGGTTGGGTGGGTATGAGTGATTAATTTTGCATATATATACATGCATGTTATTATTTTTGCAATTTGAAACCATTAATAAATGAAATCAGGTAGATGGATGGATGAATGGGTTATTGGATGAATGGAAGACAGATTAGATGAATAGATGGGAGGGCAGATGATTGAAGGGAAGGTAGGGAGGGCATGGTGAGGGGAGGGAAGGGAGGGAGGGGATGGTGAGGGGAGGGAAGGAAGGGAGGGAGAGGATGGTGAGGGGAGGGAAGGAGGGAGGGGATGGTGAGGGGAGGGAAGGAAGGAAGGAAGGGAGGGAGGGGATGGTGAGGGGAGGAAAGGGAGGGAGGGAGGGAGGGGATGGTGAGGGAAGGGAGGGAGGGAGGGGATGGTGAAGGGGAGGGAGGGAGGGGATGGTGAAGGGAAGGGAGGGAGGGAGGGGATGGTGAAGGGAAGGGAGGGAGGGAGGGGATGGTGAGGGAAGGGAGGGAGGGAGGGAGGGGATGGCAGGGGAGGAAGGGAGGGAGGGAGGGATGGTGAGGGGAGGGAAGGAAGGGAGGGAGGGGATGGTGAGGGGAGGGAAGGAAGGGAGGGAGGGGATGGTGAAGGGGAGGGAGGGAGGGGATGGTGAAGGGAAGGGAGGGAGGGAGGGGATGGTGAAGGGAAGGGAGGGAGGGAGGGGATGGTGAGGGAAGGGAGGGAGGGAGGGAGGGGATGGCAGGGGAGGGAAGGGAGGGAGGGAGGGGATGGTGAAGGGAAGGGAGGGAGGGAGGGGATGGTGAGGGAAGGGAGGGAGGGAGGGAGGGGATGGCAGGGGAGGGAAGGGAGGGAGGGAGGGGATGGTGAGGGGAGGGAAGGAAGGGAGGGAGGGGATGGTGAGGGGAGGGAAGGAAGGGAGGGGATGGTGAGGGGAGGGAAGGAAGGAAGGAAGGGAGGGAGGGGATGGTGAGGGGAGGGAAGGAAGGGAGGGAGGGGATGGTGAGGGGAGGGAAGGGAGGGAGGGGATGGTGAGGGGAGGTAAGGAAGGGAGGGGATGGTGAGGGGAGGGAAGGAAGGAAGGAAGGGAGGGAGGGGATGGTGAGGGGAGGGAAGGAAGGAAGGAAGGGAGGGAGGGGATGGTGAGGGGAGGAAAGGGAGGGAGGGAGGGAGGGGATGGTGAGGGAAGGGAGGGAGGGAGGGGATGGTGAAGGGAAGGGAGGGAGGGAGGGGATGGTGAAGGGAGGGAGGGAGGGAGGGGATGGTGAGGGAAGGGAGGGAGGGAGGGAGGGGATGGCAGGGGAGGGAAGGGAGGGAGGGAGGGGATGGTGAGGGGCGGGAAGGAAGGGAGGAGGGACTGGTGAGGGGGAAGGAGGAGGGCGAGGGAGGGGATGGGAGGGAGGTCAGGAAGGGAGGGACGATGTGAGGGGAGGGAAGGAAGAAGGACGGGAGGGAGGGGATGGCGAGGGGAGGGAAGGACAGGAGGGAGGGATGGTGAAGGGCGGACGGAAGGGAGGGAGGGGATGGTGAAGGGAGGGAAGGAATGGAGGGAGGGGTGTGTTGAAGGAGGGAAGGAAGGGCGGGAGGGGATGGTGAGGGGAGGTAAGGAAGGAAGGGAGGGAGGGGATGGTGAGGGGAGGTAAGGAAGGAAGGGAGGGAGGGGATGGTGAAGGGAGGGAAGGAAGGGAGGGAGGGGATGGTGAGGGGAGGTAAGGAAGGAAGGGAGGGAGGGGATGGTGAGGGGAGGTAAGGAAGGAAGGGAGGGAGGGGATGGTGAAGGGAGGGAAGGAAGGAGGGAGGGGATGGTGAGGGGAGGTAAGGAAGGAGGGAGGGGATGGTGAGGGGAGGGAAGGAAGGGAGGGAGGGGATGGTGAAGGGAGGGAAGGAAGGGAGGGAGGGGATGGTGAGGGGAGGGAAGGAAGGAGGAGGGGATGGTGAGGGGAGGGAAGGAAGGGAGGGGATGGTGAGGGGAGGGAAGGAAGGAGGGGATGGTGAGGGGATGGAAGGAAGGAAGGGAGGGAGGGAGGGATGGGGATGGTGAGGGAAGGGAGGAGGGAGGGGATGGACGGGGAGGGAGGAGGGGATGGTGAAGGGAAGGGAGGGAGGGAGGGGATGGTGAAGGGAGGGAGGGAGGGGATGGTGAGGGAAGGGAGGGAGGGAGGGAGGGGATGGCAGGGGAGGGAAGGGAGGGAGGGAGGGGATGGTGAGGGAAGGGAGGGAGGGAGGGAGGGGATGGCAGGGGAGGGAAGGGAGGGAGGGAGGGGATGGTGAGGGAAGGGAGGGAGGGAGGGAGGGGATGGCAGGTGAGGGAAGGGAGGGAGGGAGGGGATGGTGAGGGGAGGGAAGGAGGGAGGGAGGGGATGGTGAGGGGAGGGAAGGAAGGGAGGGAGGGGATGGTGAGGGGAGGGAAGGAAGGGAGGGAGGGGATGGTGAGGGGAGGGAAGGAAGGGAGGGGATGGCAAGGGGAGGGAAGGAAGGAAGACTAGATGAATGCACATAAGGCCCCAGGCAGATCCTTCACAGGAACTCCCCGGCTTCGTATCCTACCTCCTTTAGCTGGGCGCCGTCTTTGCTGGTCTGAAAGTTCTGGCTCAGTTCCTCCACTTCCTTTTCAAAGAGCGAGCGGACCTCGCCGAACCCTGAGCTCACGGGCCCCATGAGCTCCTCCAGGATGGAAGCCAGGAATGGCTGCACGCTCTCCGCACAGCTTCTCTCCGCTGGCTGGGCCACCATCGCTGCGGTGGGGGACAGCAGGAGCCGTGACTTAGGGCCCTGGATCCAGGCCAGAGCCACGCGACAGCATCAAGGTCAAGGACAAGGCAGAGCAGCACAGGGCCCCGCCGTGTCCACCAGCACAGAAAACCATGAGTGCTCTGCAAACAGGCAAACAGAACTCCCCCTCCCGAGCTTCCCTCCGCCCCAGGATGAAAGGCCCTTCTACTGGGTCCCTGAAGCATGCAGTGCCTGACACAAAACAGAAACCGCCAGCGCCCCTCAAGCATCACCATTATATGTGCATGGTTGGACTTCTAAAACCACAAGTCACTTTTTTAAAATGGAGGCATAATTGATGTCGAACATTATATTAGTTTCGTGTGTACAACACAATGATTAATAATTTGTATAAAACAATTTAATAAGTTTTCATTCTTTTTTTTTTTCTAAGACTCAATCAATATAATTCAATTCCCCTCTCTCTTCCTCAAGAGATTTTTCTAAAAACTTTTCTTGGGCAAATGGAAACAAATTCCTTTCAGTTTGTCATCCCATCTCCCATTGCCCCCTCCCCACTAGTTTTTATTGTTTTTAGGTTTTTTGGGTGTTAAACACCACTTTTTGTTCTGCTCGTTAAGGACAATATGCACAGTGATAAGAATGTCCAGAGCGCAGGAAATCAGAAGGAGGGATGGAAAAATGCAACCATATCCCCACTTCCCAGAGACAAACGCCACCCTTTGCTTCAGAGGAGGGAGAGCATAGTAAAGAGTCTGCTTCCGGAAGTGTGGCTGGGACACAGAAATCTGTCTTATTATCGGTTGGTGGTGGCGGTGGTGTTCAGGGCTAAGGTGATCTCGTGATTGGCCAGGTTTGGAGGCAGGGATCCAATGAGGAAGCCTGCGCTGGAAGAGGCCTGAGTGTACTCGGGGCCTGGAAGGCTAGCTCTGAGGAACCGGCGGGTCACACAGCCTTGTGGGAGCCGCACGGCACCGAAAAGCAAGAACACACGCTCGGTGGCCAATCCTCCCTTAGACAGATGGAGAAACAGAGGCCCGGAGATGTTAGATGGCTTGACTAAGGTCACATCCTAATGTGCAGAAGCAGAACTACACTTCAAGTCTACTTCTTAAGTTTCCATTGGCAAATATTTCAGTGCACAGAACTTTTCAGAGTTATGGAGGCTCATACTGCCTCTAATTCTGAGACTCTAAGATGACCAATATGACTAACCTTAGGTCCAACTCATAAATATTTGGGATAGAAAATATTAAACGGGTCATGAAATTACTGGGGGGAGGAGGCCTTTCAAATGCGTGATTCAGATATAAAAACAGTCTGTGACGTCTGAAAATGACTTGCTTGATAACCCAACGCAACATTGCTTGCCAGGAGAATGATGAATTATTGATCAGCTAACCCTGAGAGAAGACCTATCTGAAGAGCATCTGATGGGAATTTCAGTGTGATCGTGAGCAGTGGTCACAGGCTGTGTCTACTCAGTGTCGGAAGTGCCACACGGGGGGGGGGGGGGGGGGGCGGGCAGGTAGCATCAGAATTCATAGGCTCCACCACGAGGCAAGAAGCAAAGTTCCCTCCAGCTGGTTTCACTGGCGTTTTCATGGGGGTTGGGGGGGGGGCTCCACTCACTTCTGAACAGACTCCTGTTACAACTGTGATCACTTCTTCCCCGTTCCCTGTTTAATCCTCCTCTGAAACCATGAGCTCGAACTACGCGGTGCAGCCCGAAATGCACAGCCTATTTCACCAGCAGGAACATGGATGGTCTCCACTGACCTTTGATCTTCCCAGCTAAAAAGTTCTTGGAGTTCACGATCTGATCCATGTCTGAACGGATGGTGCCTTCCAGGCCCTTGGTCAGGGCCCTGCATTCCTCCTTCAAGGCGCTTAATCCCTCTGAAACTTGGTGCTGAACCAGGTTGTAGGCCTCCTCCAGGAGCTGCAACAGGGATCAACGCAAAAACTGGGCCTCTGGGTGTGCAAGAGGCCACTGAGTCAAGTGCAGGGAGGAGGGGCCATCACAGATTATCGAAAGGTAAACAAGGCTGCACACACATTCTCATGTTTCTTTCAAAGCTCGAGGCTGTTCGGATCAGTCCTCGTTTAAGTGAGCCTGAGCAGACTTGAGGTAGGCTGTTCTCTCTCCAGGGAAGGAGTTAGTTTGAAGAAAAAGAAAAGCTAACCCTAAAAGGAGAAGGGAAAGGGATGTTTATTTGGAGTAGCACAGAGGCAGAGAGAAGCCATCACTTACCCCGAGCCAGGCCCGCTTCCTGTCATTCTTCTTCCCCTTCATTTTAGGCAGAAGGTCTGTCTGAAGGGTGGGCAGCAGCTCCTCCATCACCAGGTGACTCAGGATCTGCGGAGGGGGCGGGGAGTCAGCCCCCAAGTCGTCAGTTGGTAAGGCTGAAATCTGCATCATGCCTGCTGAAATTGTCAGGACTGGCCATCCCCATCCCGGCTACATGGGCTTGTCCTGAGCTACATGGAACCTGCTCGGTTAATAGTGTCACTATTCATGTCCAAAGTCATCAACCTCATAGAAATTTGGGTCCGAGGCCACCAAAATCTCAATGAAGGCAACCTTAGAGGCCAAACGTTCTCAAACATCTGCAAGGAACTTTAACATCTGCTGAAGTTTTCCATCAGAGAGGACAAATTCCTCAAATTCAAACTCCTCGTATCGAAAGCTAGAAGAAGCGAATGCATTTTTAAAAAGAGGGAGAACTTCAATTCGGGATAAGGGCGTCCTTAGCAAAACTGTGGAGGGGGTCAGGCTTGGTGGTGGTGGCTTCTGTCCTCATCTGTGACCCCTGATATCGTTCGTCCTCAGACGACCTTGGGATCTAGGTGTCATCATGGTCTTCAAGTTTACTGTCCCCTGAACCCCCCTCCATTCTCTTTAAAGTTGAGAGAACGTGGTGGGTGACAGATACTCTGGAGTAACTAGACCTTTGTGGGACGAGCAGCAATGTGAGGGAGGGAGGTCTAATGTTTTCAGGGTGATTTTTAAAATTGTTCCCAAGTCTCTCCTAAGATTTTGCCGAGTTCAATGAAAATGTTTCTTCTGAACCTAAGCAGTATTCCACATGTCCCCACACAACGCTCCCAGTGACACCGGCCCCTCCTTCTCGACGTCCCCTGCACCCCCGCAATTGGATCTGTCTTCTTGTTCAAATTCACTTCGCCCTGCGTCTGTCGGGCTCAGAGCCCAGCTCTCAGCCTTCGACCCTGCATCAGGCTACAGACCGAGATTTACAAAAGAACAAGTCACTGGGGGAATGGAGGCAGGCACAGAAACACAGAATCGTTTCACATCTGCTCTGTGAATTTGAAATAATATTTTTCCAAAGTAATTGACCTCATAGAAATTCAAATTCAACTTTGGGAACTAATTAAGAAAGAGTTTCTCTGAGGTCATGGGTCAGCCTCGCTAGTGGAAATACTCATGAGCTCACTGGACGACCCTTTCGCCAGGGCTCTGTCCCAGCAGGACGTGATGCTCTCGCTGAACTAAAGAGGAACTCTCCCCGCGTGGAGGTGGGCAAGCCATCCAGTCCCCCGTGCCCGTGGGCTCCTGGGAGAGAAGGCTGCTCGGGTCAGTGCAGCAAGTGGGGGGCCCATCACGTGCGATGAGAAACTCTGTAGTGTGACAAAGACTATCATGGAAATAGGGCTCCCACTAGTTCTGCTAATTCATGGGAGGAGATGTTTTTACCTTTCTTAACCATTTTCTTGGGATAGTCAAAAGGTGAACCAGCATTTTTAAGAACGTAAGAACTTGACATGTGCAAACTCCATGGAAATCAGCAGGTCCAACAATTACAGTTAAGTGGGTAGTTAATGATGCCTGGACCCCACTTGCTTAATGGAGTCAGTTCTTGTTTGGAACACACGTGCCCAAGAGCGAGGAAAGTGTGGCGGGGGAGAGTGGGCCGAGAGCGTGGGAGTCTGAAACCAGAACTTAGCGTCAGTGGGAAGGTGTTAAATGCAAGGTGATGGTCCTAATGATATTAATCACCCCAATTCCTCCTTTTGCAGAGAGTGGTTTGAATCTGAGCACAAGCACAAAAGGGGTTTGAAAAGATGAAAACGTTACACAGGCCAAAGAGAAAGAATGTTCCATTTGGGTGGGCTTGTAGTTTTCTTTCAGACTTTCCCATGTAATGTTCCAAGAAATTTCCTTGCATTTTATAACTTCAGCAATTGAAGTATATCCAGGGGGAAGAGAAGAGGGTGGGAGTGAGCTCAAGGCCGGGGGCGGAGGGGACAGCACAGGCCAGGCAGAGCCCCTGGGTGCAGAGCCCAACTGGGTCTCATTCAACACCACATCCTCTTCCTCTAACCCCAAAACCTACGGACAAGGCCAAAAAACTGTGGTGTTTTCTTGTGTTGAAGCCACAACTATCCTGTGGCTATGCTGCTTGGCCCGTCTGGTTAATTAAAAGGTAAATTATAAACATACCAAAAACAAGATCTTTAGATTTTGCAAAATGCTTTCCATCATGGCCTCATTTGATGCACTGATATTGACGAGCAGAAAGCAGATTTACTCGTATTCAAGGACAGTTGTCCCTCCTTATCTGCAAGGGGTACCCTCCAGGATCCCCAGGGGTGCCTGAAACTGCAGGTAGCACCAAGCCCGGGATGTACTAGGTTCTTTCTGATATAGGCATAGCTGTGATCAAGTTTAATCGATAAATTAGGCATAGTAATAACCAATAATAAATAGAACAATTATAATCATGTACTGTAATAAAAGTTTATGTGAGGCTCCCCTCTCTCTCTCTCTCTCTCTCTGTCATAACTGATCTTATAACCGAAATGGCTGCTACATGACTAATGGGTGGGTAGAATATACAGCGTAAATAGAGGACAAAAAGGATGATTCACGTCCCAGGCACAATGCAGCAGGACTACGAGAGCTGTCATCATGCCACTCAGAACAGTACACACTTTACAACTTATGAAGTGTTTATTTCTGGAATTTTCCATTCAGTATTTTCAGACCGTGGTTGACCGTGGGTGACTGAAGTGTGGAAAACAAAACTGCAGATAAGGGGGAACTATTGTCTTTTCGTCTGTATTAATATTCTGCACTAACAGTCTGTCAGGCAAGTTAGTCTGAGATGTTTGCTTGGCCTGGACACTTGCCTAAAATAACCACGGCCACGAGAGCCTGCCAACTTGCTGCGTGAGTCATGACTGCGAAGATAATAAGGTAACAGTGATGAGAATCTGAACATAGGCCCCCAGGGTCGAGGGGCTCGGGACAATTTTATGGTTAAGTTCTTAGTGGAAACAATGCAAATAAACCCAGGGCTTTAAACAAAAGATGTCACATTCTCAAAGCCGGTTACGCCACGCCACATTCTTTAACCACGTGGCAGTTGCTTTGGGCCCTGACCCCTTTTCCCTGCGAGTCTGAGGACAGACATTGCTTCAGCTCTGTGCAGAAGAGGTTACAGGGAAGGTTACCCTCCCCAGGCCCCACACAGGAAAGTTCTGGAAGCCATTTCCTTTCTAGCTTCTCTAGGGATGGGCCGACTCGGCTCAGAAGGCACCTCTGTCACAGACTGGCTTTGTGACTCCCAACAGCTAACTTCTCTAAGGTTCTGGCTCTCACCTGGGGGCTGAACAATGACCCCGAAATGCCTCTCCTGGACTCACGTGTTGTGAGATTGATTTCCCCAAAGACACTCAGGTTCCTGGGGATGCAAAACTTCTGGGGTCACTTGGTAACTCCAGCTTTTACTGAGCTCTGCTGGGGTTTTGGTGCTGTGTTCCCACTTCAGGTATTTTTTTTTAACCTCACCCAAGCACATTTTTTGATACTTTTGTTCAGAGAGAGTGGGAGGGAGAAAAAGAGAGAGAGAGAAACATCGACGTGAAAGGGCCACATGGAGTGGTTGCCACCCACATGACCCAACCAGGGCGGGGGACAAACTGCAACTGAAGTACGTGCCCTTAGTGGGAACCGAACCCGGGTCTCTCTGGACTGCAGGCTGACGCTCTAACCACTGAGCCAAACCGGCCAGGGCCCACTTCGGGTATTTTATACTGCCAAATTAGCACCTGCCTACGACTGTTCTGCCCCTGCTTTAAGATGCCCATATATGTACAGACCCGCACATGTGCCCACACACTCTGAGGCTGCCTTGTTCTCTGGGTGTTTCTAGGTAGTCTCGCGGCACGGAGTCAGCCGGGGATGAGTCACTTTGCCCTCTGACCTTACACGTGGGCCCCAGCAAACAGCAGCAAGCCCCCCAAGACAAGCCCGCAACCTCAGTACTCAGCCCCGGGAAGGATTACTGAGTGCCTGCCTTCAGGGGCATGGGGAAGGATTGTGAATTGACGTGAGGTTTCAAGTGAAAGAAAAAACCTGAATCCGGCGGCACAGCTAGATTCAAGGAGTTCAAGGTGGTGTAACTAGGCATATTCCCGTGGTTGGTGTTGATCTTCCACGGGACTGGAAGTCCGAAGCTATCGTTTCCTTTGCCACGTGTCCCCGTAGCATGTGATCCTGAAACAGTCGGCTCCACGGGCCAGGGACCGTTCTGCCCTGCCCGTCTCTGATCGCTAGCACCCAGCAGAGGGCCTGGCATCTGGCGGCTCAGTAAATAGTTGCTGAATGACTAAAACCGGGCAAGTCAACGCCTATGCTTTCTTCTAATTTCTAATTTACAAAATGAAAATAATAATAACTGCGCTACCCGCCTCATGAGATTGGTAAGATGAACAGATAGAGTTAGGATGTGAACATGGGAAAGTATCTCACAGAGGCATTTTAATGTTGATGCATCTATTAAATATGTTTGTTCAGATGACAGACCAATCAGGGTCAAATACGTCAGCCTCCCCTTACGCTTTTGTTTTTGGCACAAGTATGGTTAGTCCTTAACCCTCTCAGATTTATAAATAGACGTGCTTCCCCAAAATACCAGAAACCAAGAATTGGTTCAAGTTCTTGATAATTTCAGGGTGGCAAATAAAGGAGTTTAGAATCCACCACAAAAAAAAAAAAGGAGAAGAAGATTCTGAGTCACACAGTAAAACAATGAAAACAATTCCATCTTCATGTGAAAGTGTTTTCAGCTTTAGATGTTTAATGACCGTACAAAGGCAGGGCACCATCTGGCATCTTCCAAATATTGCTCCCTAATAACGAATTTTACTGGCTCCCGAAAGAGGCACCTCTGAAGATGAGGGGAAATTAAAGAAAATCATTCATGGACTCTGTGTGCCTTTAATTAAATAACATTAAATAAGGCCATTCCCAGCCTCCTCTTCCTGCTGAATCAGCCCCGTGACTGGCGTCCTCGTGGAAGACGGGTTCCCATCGCAAAGCACAGTTTCATGGGAGATTTGTAACAACGTCCCAGGGACCAACTCATGGTTCTTAGCCCATGACTGGCATTTACTTAAGGTCATGGCAAAGCCTGCTGAACCGCAGAGAATGACAAACTAGAAAAAGGTAAATGAAACCTACAGAACACTGTCTCGTGCTTTTAAAATGTGTCTCCTTTAATTGCTTCATTTAGAAATCACGCAAAAGATAGAGACAACCACGTGTCCAAGAGGTTTCCAAAACATCTCATTTAGCTCTGACAACTCTGCGAGCCAAGCATCATCGTTCTTTCAGAGGAGTCACCTGAGAGGCAAAGAGGTGAAATAACGTGGCGAGGTTTGCCCCGTGTCTGCTGGGACTTAACTCATCTGCCTGCAGTGCCCAGCACACACTGCACACCCGACCACGCTGTTCCCACTGACTTCTACCCTGGAAGAAGGTCGTCTGAAAGGGTACTCGCTTTTGTAGAAAAACCAGAAGCAGCTTTTCTCATGGCCCGGGTAGTATTTTTGGCTGCCCTAGTTCATGCCTGGTCTGGGAGTCTGTGGAGTGGGCACCCAATCCCGGGCTCGCTGACCAAAGGCTTCCAGGCAATGAGAGAAATGGTCTTTGGTTCCACATCTTCCATTTTTGCAACTTATTTTTTTGTTTGTTTGTTGGATTGTTTATTATGACCCTGACCCCCTACCACCCAGACAGAGAAGAAAACGCAGAATCCCGAGCTCCGTGTTACCTGGATTTCATCCCCAGTCATCATTTCCCACGGGCCGTAGTGACCTTTCTCCTGCCGGAAGAACTGCACCGCTTCTACAAAGGCTTGGGCTTCGAACGTCGTCTGCTTCATGTAATCTGAAAGAAAGAGGCGGGGCATTTAGCAAAGAGAAAGACTTCATTTGACGTCCATGGCTCTTCAAGTGTCATGGTTCAGAAACCCAGCATTACCTGAATTTTGTAAGGAGCAGAATTGTGAGACAGAAAAATTAATCATGTACTGAATTCAAAGTTCAGTTGCAGGTGTACATCATGTTGTCTGCTCGCCATGCTAGCTGAATAAATCTGTCAATTACTGGGCACACTGGTTAGAACCAGATGGAAAGCAGATACATCCCTCTGTCTGTCCCCTGTAGCTGCTTCTCTGTCTCAGGCACCTAGGCACCTGGTACACTACCTACCTCCACACCTCACACTAGGGCAGGCCGTTCCTTCCCGGTGTCATCCATGGTCTCCCTCCCTTCCCAGCAACTAAACTCCAGTTTCTTTGTGAGCAGATATCAACTTCTGTCAAAAGCACCTCAATACATATGCTGATTTATGCAAATGAAGGGCGATAATGGCTAACACATATAGCAGAATATTGTTCTTCTAAGCTTGTTATGTATTTCACTGAAACCTCACAAAAACCTCTGAGATGAATGTTGTTAGCATCCCCATTTTACAGATAAGGAGATCCAAAGCACCGAAAGATGAATGAATGGCCTAAGGTCACACAGCTGGTAAGGGTGTGGACTCAGGCAGTCTACTCCAGAGCCTACTTTTAACACTGTACTGCACTACCTCAAATACTAGTTTTATGGGTTCGCCCTTTCAAGCATATTGGCTTTAAAGGTGTCATATCTGAGAGTAATATCCTACCACAAAGAAATTAGTATCTAATGGTAGGATTTTAAGTATGGCTGAATGGCCTTCCCAGAATTCCACAAATCACACTATGCATGAAAATGTCTTCATCTATACTATGGATAGAATGTTTGTGTCCCTCAAAATTCATATGTTGAACCTTAATCCTCAGTGTAATGATATTGGAGATAGAGACTTTGGGAGGTAATTAGGTCATAAAGGTAGAGCCCAGGTTTAGTGCCCTTAAGAGAGGTCTCTCTCTCTCTCTCTCTGTCTCTCTCTGTGTGTGTGTGTGTGTGTGTGTGTGTGTGTCTCAACACAAGATCAACCTTGACCTTGGAATTTCAAATCTATGGTATTTTTGTTACAGCAGTCCAAACTGACCAAGGCCATTTTCAACTCCTAAAACCAGCTATTGGAGGACACAATAATAACAGAATTACAGATATCTTAGCAGGGAAATGAATTATAAAAATAATATCATCTAACAACAAAGAAATCAAATTGTAGAAAGGAGAAATAAAGTGGTCAAAGCCAGCGATTCAAAGGGCCTCATCTCCTGCCTCCTGCCTCTCCCCCTATAGGACAGAAAGTCCCCTTGCCCGTGACATGTGACCTGCATTTGCAGGGCAATCTGAGCGTGGTCAGTGGATCCATGGGGGTCCTTCAGAGGTTTAGACCGGCAAAGACTGAATGGCTCAGACAGGGACTGGGCAGAACTAAAAGAGGATCAATCTACTCTGAAAGGTGATGACCAATTAATAGGTTGTAGATGACTCTTCTGAGATTGGTTTCACAGGTTGTAAGCCTCAGGAACTTGGGAAAGAGAACATAAAATTCAAGGCATTGCCTCTATAAGAGCCCAAGAAAAATTCTTCACAGTGATGATACTAAGAAACTCTATCTTCAAACATGTGGAACAGTAACTGACATTTCTACACCAATATAGAGATTTAGCCTAACTCCAAATCCTGAAAAAAGGCATGTTCCAAGAATCAGGTTTTTATTTTGTTTTTTTTTTTTTTTTTTTTTTGTTTTTTATCCTCACCCGAGGATATTTTTCCATTTTTTGTACAGATAGAGTGGGAGGGAGAGAGAGGAAGAGAGAGAGAGAGAGAGAGAAACATCGATGTGAAGGGACACATCGAGTGGCTGCCACCCGCATGACCAACCAGGGCCGGGGACAAACTGCAACCGAAGTACGTGCCCTTAGCGGGAACCGAACCCGGGTCTCTCCGGACCGCAGGCCGACGCTCTAACCGCTGAGCCAAACCGGCCAGGGCCAAGAATCAGGTTTTTAAATGGAAGTATTTTCTTCCTTGTTATTTTTCTGGTGTGGCTATTGATTTTGTTTTTCATCTTAGCGGCTTGAAAAACAAAAATTAAGGTCTTGGTATAAACCTGACAACAAGGAGGCTGTGATATGGGGCTGGGTACACTGGGCGGGACTTCACCAGCGGAGACAGAAACTGCAATTATCACATCGAGATTCCAGATTGACTCATGTGCTCTTATTTTTAACAGCTGTTTTCACTTCCAACCTAAGGAAACAAAGAGATGGAATAAAATGTGGTACTTGGATGGAGTGAGTATCGCCAGAACCACGAGCCTGGGAATGGAGTTTTAAATTCTTCCGTCCTTGCAAGGAGCGTGGACTTACTTATTTCTTCCCCTGCTGATCTCAGTAACTAGAGGAGCTATTTGAAATCCTGCCCATACTTTTTATACCTGTCTCAAAGCACACGATGACGCTCCCACAGAGGATTGCATTCTCAAAGGTCTTAAAAAAAAAAACTGAAGAAACAGGATTTGAGACAATGATGTGCGAATCAGACGGTAGTCAAAGAAGAAATAGAAGAGCTAGAGTGTAGCAATGGTGGAGAAGAGGGCACCTTAATGTAGGCAGAGAAGAAGAGTATTGGTAATCAAATGGACCACAAAGGAAATTACAGTAATTGAACGTCAGCACTGCAGCCTAAAACAACGAGGGTGTGGACCTGAATTCCGAACTCTTTACCGTTAAGACAGACCTTAATGGATTTTAACTATTCCTTTTCCGTAGCGGAAAAAGAATCTAACCTACTGCTTCGTCATCAGATTTTCAGTTTATAAACTGATTACCTTCATTTATATAAAACTTTAAGAATAGTCTCTCTGCCACGCGGTAAATTGCTTTATGGAAACTGGTTCTTATGACTATTAAACAAAGCTCAAAGGCAACAGCCAGATCATTGAGGAAATAAAGAACAAAGGTTTGCTTTGCAAAAACAGAACTATATTGCAACGGTAACATGATCTTCATTTCTTCTAAGTTGTTCGCAAAGGCATTGCTGAACGCAGCCAGAAAGTACAGGTGTTTGAGAAGAACCAGATTATCAGTTATTTGATCAACTTCCTGCCACAGGTCTCATGGGAACAAAATCTAGGATCACAATCACCCACTCTCCTGCCAACAAGCAATTGAGACTGTTTCAATGGCCCCAGAATCAACAATGGCTTTGGTCTTTAAAAGCCTTCTCCCTGCACATCGACTTCAACAAATGGCTCAGACTCTACTTTCCCAACATGCTGTAATTGTGACGATGCTTCAGGAGACAGATGTGCCGGGGAGAGCTCAGACATCATTAATTCCAGCTCCCTCGTTTTATGGATGAGGAAACTGGAAGGAGAAATGGTTCATTTCTCAGCTGAAGGTCACACAGCTGGTCAGAATCAGAGCCAAAAGTTGAAAAAGTGGCTCTGGCATGTCATAAATGACTTTGGCATTCATACTTACTTAAATCATGGACTATGGGAGTTAGGAGCGATCTGAAAGGTCACCCACCCCAAGCTCTTGTTCAATGCTGGGAGCCTTCAGAATTCCAGACGGACACTCATCCGGCCTTAGCTTGAATATTTCCAGTGACAGGAAGCTCACAATTTAATGAAATAGTTCTTTTCACTGAACTGCTCTAATTATTTGAAAATTTTTCCTTCTACTGAGCCAAAATCTGTTTCCATGAACTCTCGCTCTCATTAACCCCATTTCTGTCTTTTAGAGCAAAATTGACATCTAGTCCTCTTCCATATGGTAACTGCAAAAGACAGCTAAAGAGCCTTATTTTCCTTCAAATATGCTTTAAAGAGTCTAGTTTTTGAATTTTTAAAATTGGATACTTCTTTTTCCTTCTTTCCCTTGGTGACCAATTCCAATTGAGCAATATCTTAAATGTATCCCCTAACCTGGATACAACACACCAAGTATTGTCTAATTCGTGCAAATTATGTCAGGTGGGAAGACTGTTCTTTTCCAGGTCCCTGACCTCGTTTTTACAGCCATACTTCTCTGCAGTCAGATAAAATCCCTGTCCTTTTCATGTAAAACCCTCTCAATCTGAGCCTTCCCTGGCCTGTACTTTGCTTCTGATCTTGAAGTACAGGTTTTAACATTACCGCTATTAAATTACAGCTTACGGTGATCAGCTCAGAACCTGCCAACATCATTTAAAAATTGCAATTCTGTCCCCAGACTCCCTTTTATCTCGATGTCATTCAAACATCGGGTAGGGCTGCCTTCTGTGTTCCCAGCCCACCTCGCTGATAAACACATCCATCCAGGCAGGAGCCAGGACAGCGGCCTGGGAAAGCCTACACATTCAGGAAACGTGGGAGACACATCTTGGCCATCCATTCAACATCACATCCTCCGGACCAAGACTCGTCTGTAGCTCTCTCCACTTCTCATCTGTGCAGCGGCCTGGAAAACTCATCCTGGGGAGACATGATTAAGGATTTTTCGAGGGAAGGAAAGCTGCTCCAGGCCCCACGGGGACAGTCATTCGGGGGACCAGCCAGAGAGAAATGCCTTTTGTTCTTTCCACTTCCACAGATTTACAACACGTCTGACTCGGATGAAGCCCCGGAGCTCCGAGGCCCGTGCCCTCCATCGGGCCGGACCGGCTGCTTGCTCGGGGCTCCCCGACGGGCCGGGTTTGGAAGCGGCCTTGTTATTTCATGGCTGCGCCAAACCACGTTAGCTGATCCTCCTGGTGCTGTTGGAAAGTTATGTAACAGCATTACTCACTGCACTGCTATGGGTTCGTCTCACTAACGTACACTGCCAGACTGTCACGAGCCTCGGGCCATGGGACTTCTCTAGGCGAGCTGCAGCCAGGACGTCTGTCCCCCTTTCCTCCCTGAAACAAAGGACGAGCAGTGCAGGGGACAGTAGCTAACACCCGTGAAGATTAGCG